GTTAGCTGGTGGGATGCCAGTTGTAACTTTGAGTCATCTTTAAAGGCAGACCATAAAGACATATTGCAGTCATTTACTACACTACAGGATACACCTAAAATACATTTAAATAAATAATATTTATACTTAATTGATAGGGCAGTATGGTGCATTGGATTCAAATGCAAAAAGGTGTTTGGAAGTATATGTGATGAATCTAGCACCTGTCTTGAGTTTTTTTAAATCAAGCACAGCTGCCCAGTCCTGGGAAAAAGCATGGCTACTTTTAGGAGTTGCAGACAAGTGTTACATTTGCATCACACATACTCTATCTAAAGCACTTTTCTGCCTTTAGTACCAAAGCACTGCAAAGGCTTTATAGCTGGAAGTGCATATTTCCAATTGTGAATTGGTTGTAGTTATCAAGACTGTGTAAGCAAGCACAATGCCTAGTGCTGGCGAAAGTGTCTTAATTTTTTTAAAGTCAGAAATAAGAATGAGTAGAAGTTATTCATTTTCATGACTTTTAATGAAACACAGGCAAGAGTCACACAACATTTGAATATCAAACCTTATTTATAACCTATAGTTGTAGTGTTATTATTAAAATGTAGTAACTTTGTTGATATGTGAGAGATATAATTAATCAGCAACAACCAAAATAACACCCATATTATACTATTCTCTATTTTTCTGCAAAATATGATGAAAATATAATTTGAAATATAATTTCAATTTTATAATTAAATAATAATTTAATATAATTATTTTTAAGGAGAGAAGGGCTCACAAAAGCAAAAGTCCTTAGGGCCTACGAGTTATAAAGCTGTCCTCATAGATTCTTTGCAGAAGTATAAAGAAATGGTTACAATTAATATCAGGATTCTTAGCAGCATTACTTTTCTAATAATTTGGGGAATGGCTAATGGCTGCTAAGTATGATTTCCTCAGCAGCAAGAACTTTAAAAATGTCTGTCTTCTGTTAATTTACAGCTAGAATGTTTAACTAGCTTCTACTGGAAGATAATTATAGGTACTAAAACTTACGTTTGTAAGTTATAGGTTTTTAAAAAGTATACACAACATTAAAGAGTGATCTAAGGGATCTCTACATTCACCTCAGATGGACGATTGAAACAGTTAGATCATAATGTAGAACTGCACAGCACACTTAGAATATTCACCTGGACAGTGTCAGGATCCTAGAATGGACTGGAGCTTTCTGTGTTGCAGAAGACGGCTGCTTTCTGGCTAGTTATACATTCATCTCTTTTAATGAGAGATCTGGTAATTTATTTCATGGTATAAAGATGGGTTCACAGTTTGCACTTCCTGATAGAAATGCTTACATGTATGTGTATTCATCCAGTTCGTCAGAGTACAGGTTAGGTCAGTTATGTCTTTTCTTCAGCAGCTTTTGCAATTCAGCAGACAGCTCTTTAGGAAAATGACACTTGATCAGGAGGCAAGAGACATCAGGTATCATGATACCTGATGAGCTGTGAATGCTCCAACACTGGAAGTTTTTAAGAAGAGACTGGACAGCCATTTGTCTGAAATGGTATAGGGTTTTCTGCCTGAGCAGGGGGTTGGACTAGATGACCTCCAAGGTCCCTTCCAACACCACCACCACCACCACCACCACCACCACCACCACCACCACCACCACCATCATCATCATCATCATCATCATCATCATCATCATCATCATCATCATTATTATTATTATTATTATTATTATTATTATTATTATTATTATTATTATTATGGATCATCGCACAGTCAGCCAGATGTTCAGACTGGATTTGGCATTTTGTCTACCTATCGAGTCCTTACCAAGGACCTGGGATAGGCAGATGTGGATGTTTGATGGTATTACAGATATCGTCGCAGGATGGAAGCAGTTCCTAGTAA